TCTATATATATATAACTCTGATAAAAGCCGCATTGTTGACCTTTGTTTAACACTTGACAAACATATTTTGTTAAAAATAATTACTAGTTAGTTTAGTCTAAGTTGAACTGTCTGCCTATTTTGTTTAATCGATGACAATTTTCACACAAGATTCCAACATCTGTAGTTTAAAAATGCCGTTGACTTTGGATGGAAGAAGTGACAAGCTGTCAAAATAATTAACTTTATAATAATAATAATAATAATATTGATCAAGCTCAGTCGGTTTGTGATTCTCTCTCTTTTTTTCTCTCATGCAGTGCCGAGGAGTTGATCTGTATCATTCAGATATCGTTCTCAAAAGTATACAACTTTGTGGAATATTTTCGAAGTAATTACACCTGGCACACTGATAGTGATTTCTAAAGATCATTCATTGTACAGAAAGTAGGATTTATTATTCAGCGTAAAATCCCTAAAGAACTGAATGTACTGAATATAATGATATCATTCTGTTTGACAGGTTCTCATCGCCTGTAAACTACCTGAAATTATTATGGTTTTAAAAAAAGTGGCAGTAACATACTTCAATGTTTGAATGGTTTTTTCAAAAAAAATTTTTATTCCTTTACGTTCCCAGTGGAACATAGGGCTTCAGGCTAGAGACTTGAAGTTTCTGTAGCAGTGGTGATTATTTTTACTAGCTAGCCTCATACCCAGCCTTCCCTCTTCACCAGTCTTATTAGCGACTTAGCGAGGTAAAGGAAGAGTGCGTTGGCCGGGGATCGAACCCAGGACCACATGCGTGGTTGGTGAGCTTTCTCTACCGCTCTGCCACCGACTCACAAGTTCGAATTTAAGTCACCATCAATTTATACGCTTTGAAAATACAAAAGGAGGGGAGAAGACAGAAATATCTAATAAACAGTGTTAGCTTTTAGGTTCACATTAGCATAAAATAGGGAACCTGCTCAATGAGCTGAAATTACCAATATGGATGACTAATCAGTGTAATTAAAGTGTATTACGAAAGGAGTGAGAGATTGATTACATAAGTGCATAAGTTTGGTTGGAAACATAGGATTGCAATTGTTTCAGAAAATCGCAGTAAATTTGTCCTCTTTTTTGGTATGTTTAATATTTTGAAGAATTTGGAAATCTCAGCAAAATGACCCGTATCCACAAGGTGTCTGGTAACTGAACTATGCTAATAACTGTTTCCTTTCACGAATAAGTTCTTTAGAATATGCTTAAAAAACTAAACAGAAGTACTTCTTTCTGTCTTTCCAATGGACTTACTGAAGCAAATCCACGTAAATTTATAAACTCATTTTGATGTGACATCAGCCTGGTACTTATCCAATTTAGACTGGCTTATAGAGCATGTGGTGGTGTAGAGAGACCGTTTTATTGCTGCTTTCATTCTCTTGTCAATCTTTTTTGACACTGTTTCTCCTTTGAATGGGATATAAATAAACACTTTCTTCTTTTCAACAGTTGGGTGTTTCGTTTTCTCGTTTTTTTCTTTGCTGTACTTTGAAGATATTGTCAGGTTCAGGTTTCCCTTCTATAGATGGCCTTTCCATTCTTAAAAAAGTCGTAATACTTACATTTCGGAGGCGCTAATTTTATGATATTCTGTCTACCACCATTCAAACATTGAAGCATGTTATTGTCAGCTTTTATAACCTCTGTAATTCCAGGTAGTTTGCAGCTGATGATGACCTGTGAGATGGAATGATATCATTTTCTACTGCAAATCTGGCCTTCCTTTCCGTATCGAAATTTATCAAGGGAACTGAATGTATGAACCAGGAAATTGTTTGAGCAACTAGCGAAATTTGAAAAGCACTGGATAACTAACTGTTTTATCCTATCTTATCTTTAAGTTATTATTTCGTAAGGAAATCTATCTCGACACCAGCACGTCTATGATTCACCTTCTGGTGTGTGCATCTTGCTAACTACTCCCCTGCATAGATGAAACCTAAACATATTCTCTACACATTGTTCACCGTACATAGTTCTCATTTTGGGTTTTGCACCGGCTGGAATAAATTTGGGTGTATGGATTTATTCACAAACCTCCACTAGTTGGAGGATCTTGAGGAACTAGACAGTTGCCTCCTCCCAGTTTAGGACTCTTCATCAGTCCACACTCCAAAGACCTAGTTACCAGGCCAGCTGGTTTGTCATCCAGTGCTCCTTGGTTTTCAATGATTCTCTAAATCATATCAATTCAGAAGGAATTCAAAAAGCGAATACACTAAGCCAAAGTGTACATAACAATATGGTGTCTAGATGACTGATTTACACTGCTTAACTTACTATTTCCAGAGTGTTTTTCTGACTAAGCAGCTCTTCAATTCTGAATTCCATGCCTTCTATTAACTTCAGTAATCCATCGCGTTCAGTTGTGAGACTTTTAACCAGATCGTACTCACCATCAGTGAAGGAGGAGGAGTTATTCTGTTGTTTTGAGTTGGATGATGTTCCGATTCTGTTGTTCTCCAGTTCGCATTCGGAATCATTCACTTTCTTCTGATTCGCTTCAGCAAGACATTTATTTACATTCTCAATGTGCTCGTTTTTCTCAGCAATTATTTCCTAGAAATTTAAACAAGACAACAGCATATAACCAGTTATAAATATGAGTTTAGTATTGAAGTTAAATCTCCTACTTGTCTTTTTGTAACAACAGAAGGCAAGACACGGAAGCCAAGGTGTATTTTTCATTAATCAAACCGCTGTTTATATATCTACACAGTTTATATTCGTTAACCAATCACTCAGCTTGTGATTTTGGTTTACATCAAACAACATGAAATAGAATGTTCAAATACATAAATAGTATTCTGTTGTTAATGCAGTATATAACCGTGGGAAATGTATTCTGTTCTAACATCAAATCGAATGTTCAAACAGATGCATTGTATGCAGTATTGAACTGTGGGAATATGTGAGCATAACATTCCGTTCGCACACCTTGTCTGTATCACACCACCACTGTTTTATTTTCCAGTTTTCAACTCATTAAATGATTCGATTTGCAAACCAACAGTAGATAAATTCACTCCTTTGATTGACTAACTACTGACTATTGTGGGTCAGTAGTATTTTGAGTTACAACTAAAATGAACGTTGACTTTGGTACATAGCCTATCCTGTTTGTCGCTTAATCTTTTTCAACCATACATCAATGTTTTCATTTGCGTAGATATGCACGAGCATTCCATAGAAAATGAAATAAGCATCTTGAATGGAACTCTATGGCAGTTTGACGTCAGTCGACAAATTAAGAAAAATTCAAACACAGGAAATAGAACTTTTCAGAAAATTGCTTACACTAAAACTCATCCGTTTATATCAAGAACCTTAGACTTGTATAATCTGAATTACAGAATCCCGTTATCCAAGTAGTTTGAAATTCAGTCAGTCGACAATATATCTGTAAGAGAATTTCAGTGTGTTGTTTCACAAACCATTTGCGAAATACTAAAACCTTTTTAATACAAACCACAATTCACCGAATTAACCTGGTAATTAGTTTCGGGGCAATAAAACTTGTTCTACCCAAAGTCTATGAATCTTTCCACATGTAAGACTAGGTAGAAAAATGTGTATGAATCATGCGGGAATGCTGTGACAGTATTTAAGCTCTTTACTACTCTATCACAATGCCCCTAACTTATTCCTGACACTCTCCACACTCAATGTGTTTGAAGGAATAGTCAACAGACCTTATTACTTTTGATTGGACACTAGTAACTAGTATGATGTGTCTAGTGCTTTCTTTGGTGCAGACTGAATTCCATCAGTCAAGCTTACAATGTGGTCACCATGCTAGGTAGCTCGTCATCACGGTACATATTCATTTGATTTGTGAGTGCCAGATAGCACGAAACCTAGGTCGAAGGCATCCTGCAGATTGCCTCCAACCATCTATAACCAACAATTCACAGTGCACCTTGGTGGCGAGCCACCCAGCATGGTGGCCACATTGCAAACATGACTGATAGAATTCAGTCTGCACCGAAGATAGGACTAGACGCATTACACTAGTTAGTGACTAGTGTGCAATCAAAAATATCCAATACACGTCTACAGGAGGTCAGTCGCGAGCCTGAATAGCTCAGTGGTAACGTCTCTGACTGCAGCACCGTGTGACGCGGGTTCGAGTCTCAGAAGGGACATGAGTTCCTTCGAGGTTGCAGATACGCCTTGCTGATGAGTGCCAACTAGCACGAAACCTAGGTCGAAGGCTTCCTGCAGATTGCCTCCAACCATCTATAACCAACAATTCACAGTGCACCTTGGTGGCGAGCCACCCAGCATGGTGGCCACATTGCAAACATGACTGATAGAATTCAGTCTGCACCGAAGATAGGACTAGACGCATTACACTAGTTAGTGACTAGTGTGCAATCAAAAATATCCAATACACGTCTACAGGAGGTCAGTCGCGAGCCTGAATAGCTCAGTGGTAACGTCTCTGACTGCAGCACCGTGTGACGCGGGTTCGAGTCTCAGAAGGGACATGAGTTCCTTCGAGGTTGCAGATACGCCTCGCTGATGAGTGCCAGCTAGCACGAAACCTAGGTCCAAGGCTTCCTGCCAATTGCCTCCAACCATCTTAGACCTTGTTACTACAGGAAATACTCCTCCGAATTTGAAAAAAGTTACTGTGTAGGTCAAATATCTCCACCTTACCTCGTTAGTGGGACTAAACACTAGAAAAGACCCAGGTTCCTAACTATCCGTGAATATATCTTCGTCTACTTGTATATTCTGTCTTGAAATTTGTAGAAAGTAGAAGTCAGAAAGCACTACTGTTCTATATACGCATGGTTGGCTGAATTCTCGAGTCTAAACATATGTGTAACTAGGTTGCGATTTCCGTATTTTTTTCACAGGACCTATGCCTTAGAAACCAGTGCAAATAATGATACATTTTAAAGTCTGAAAAAACTTCACTAGCCACTTCTCACAATAACACAACTTAAAGACCGATAAACGCTTACCTTTAATTTTTCTACTTCAATTTCTTTTCTTTGCTCTAGACTCGATAATTCCTGATTAAGCCTTTCTATCTCCTTTTCTCTCTCTGTGTTCAAATTTTGCATGTTGACAACTTCTTTTTGTAGGCATTCATTACGCTGAACTAGTGATTCTATAAGTTCATCGTCATGTTTTCCTTTCTGTATAAGGAAAACAATTTGTTTTTTAAGCTCCTTTTGCTCTTGTCCAAGATTGTTAACGCGTTGTTTTGTTTTTTGAAGTTTGCTTTTAGTAGAGCACAACTCCTCTTCTAAGTGCTTTTTGTCGTCTTGTAGTTGTTTCGCAGAGGATTTCGTTAAATGCTGTTCTGTCAGATGATTAAACGTAGGCGTATGACATGTTTTCGGCGTTTGCAGTTCTCCTTCCTCTTGAAAGTAACTGATGCCAAATGAAGTTGCACCAGAGAATAATTCATCCTCTGCATTTTGTTTGCAAACAAGATCCTCTGAACGAGAGATCATTTTAGCATTGAGTTGAGACTGTAGTTTTGCAATTCGATTTTTCAATGCAGATATCTGTTGTTGTCGACCGCGCCAGTTTGGCAATAATGAGCATGTACCACCATCCTGAATTCCGTTCTTTAGCCGCATATTAGTTAACCAAGTGCTGATATTGGGTATAACCTCGCCTGTTTCGGCTTCAACTACCTTTTTAGCCAGTAATAAGTCACGATTTAAGACTTGAACTTTCTGGCGCAGCTCTGAGACAACAGACTCTAGTTTCTTCAGCTTTTTCTCCTGTTCCATACGTTCAGCTGTACCATCCAACTTCTCCTCGGTGTATGGCGTCTTGCTTTGCTTACACAAGTGGCAAACAACAACTTCTTTACTTTGATTACTGGACTCCAGCCTCCTAACTGTCTGATGCAGGTTATTGCATTTATTTCGCTCACTGATAAGTGCAGCATTCAACTCTCTAATCTTTTTTGACAACTCAATAATCTTTAATGAGGCGACATCTAATCCAGTATCGTTAGAGGTAAACTTTGAAGCTTCAGATCTATTGCTAACTAGACTGTTATTCTCTTCCTGCTTGGATTCTTTCCCATGAAAGTAGTCCAGCATTCTACTCTCAGTTCAATAGAGTAATATGCGTAAGCCGGGTTGCGATAACTGGAACGGCCCCTGTCTAGTTCTATCACACAAAAAGCAACCGCTGATCCCAGGAAGTTTTTCCTTTATTTCAGGTGTTTGTTTATCTACCACTATTTTGAAAGCATTTATACGCAAAAAAACTTTAGAAGTGATGAGAAACACAAGTGGTCTGTGGTTGTATGCTGACTTTCCTTTTACCTAAGGGAAACACACAGAAAGGGGTGAAGAATTAAACAAATTACTAAGTCACCGTAGAAATGCTTATCTTCAGTTTACCAAAAAATAATTCAGGTGCGATCCAAAGCCTTGTAAATCTTCTCTTATTTTTACCTAGTTATCATCCATGATCGGTAAACTGCAAATAAAAAATGATTTAGGATCACTTCTATCATCATTACTGATATTTTTATAAGTAATATGATTGACAGGAGCGCTTTTTCTACGAATATTCCAAGTTATTCATCCTATAGTTTACGAAATTTTTTAGTTCCTCACGTCAAATCTACTTACTTACACTTCTGTCTATAATCACATATTTATCATTCATTAAACTATCTGACAATGATGGACGGTTTTGAAAGAAACTAGAGTTCAAACTGTCAGCCTATGAATTTAATTGGTGGATGGTGACTAGCAGTGGAATCAAGGATGCGCATTTCGTCCTATTTGGGACTCGTCCTCTGGGGCGTAGCTGCATTTCCCGGTGAGTGATGATGTTCCCACCGAGGCTCGAACCCAGCTGATGAGTCCCAAATAGCACGAAATGCGCATCCTGGATTCCACTGCTATTCACCATCCACCAATTAAATACAAATTAAATGCTCAGACATCCTCGAAGCATCTGCACAAGAAGCCGACATGTCAACCTGAGACCGAGCACGTCGGTCCAATCAATCGACGGGAAAATATAAAATTGAATTTTTTTTATTCCTTCACGTTCCCAGTGGAACATTGGGCTTCAAGCTAGAGGCTTGAAGTTTCTTTAGCAGTGTTTATTTTTACAGGATGAGGTTGCTAGCCTCATGCCCAACCTTTCCCCTTTACCAGCTTTTTATTTCTGGCTTAGCGAGGTAAAGGAGTGCGTCGGTCGGGGATCGAACCCCGGACCGTGTGCATGGTCGGCGAGCATCCTAACCGCTATGCCACCGACGCACAAAATTTAATTAGATAATTAATAATATGACCCGTTGCACAAGAGGTGGCTGTCGTCGCCCGAGTGGTCTAGTGGATAACGCTTTGGCGTTTGGAACTATGTCAGCCTTTGAGTTGTGAACTTGCTGTTCTATCCACTGAGATATAAAATTTCAGGTTCATTCAATATGTACCCTGATAGCATTATAAGGAACTGTACCATAACGGCTAGTCATACTGGGAAGAAAAGGATTGACGATGCAGCTGGCCATAGTGCAGAATAATTAAGTAATATCGTAGGCTGGAGACAGGTTATCGTAACTGCACAGCACTCCAATCGAAGCCATCATTCTGATTAGAAGTTGGTGAAGCCACTCGATTGTAAATAAGTTGTCAAAATATAATTACAGTGTGTTTGATTATGTAGTCACTTATACTTTCTGTGGTCATCAAAACAAGTAGAACACTCTACAAAGTCTCTTCTCGTATAATTATGTTTATCTTCCTAAAATTGTGCTTTTCTTGTAGTTCCATGTCCTTATTTGTAAGCTGGATAGATTCTAAATAGTTTTCTTCCGTTTTCTAACATGAATCACGAATATGCGATTCAGTTAATGATTTCTCAACAGATAAACGCTTTCTGTCACATCCGTCACCACTGGTCCTTCTATCTAAACAATGTTCAAACTACAGGAAGCTTACCATAAAAAATTTCAGGTAAAACAAACAAGCAGTTTGCCGGCTTAAAGTTGATTAGTCAATCAGTGCGAGTAGAACACGTTCACAGAATACAAGTTGGGCATCTGGTTAAACGCATAACACCGAAATGAAGACAAAGATGACTGAGTAGAAGGCATGCCATAGAATTGTAATCAGTCTGCTGATCAATAATGACTGTTATTGGGGAGCGTGAATAAAATAAAAGGAGAGGTCAAGGATCCAAATGATGAGCAGCCTACTAAATGTTGCTAAGCAGTTCAGATATATTCAGAATAGTTGTGTGCAGATTTTCAGTAAAATACTATCTTACCTAACTTAGCAACCGGAAGAAATTTCAAACTACTCCTACAAAGGCTGAATATAGGAGTCGTCACCGCCGTGGCATCAGCTCTGGTCGCATTAGAGGAGAATGGGATGGATTTTTGGACATTGATCAAGGCATTGTATTCCAATCCCTAAATAAACTAGACATTGGGAAACCGGCCATACCCAATGAACTTCACTCAAAGCTTAGTAAGCAACTTACAGATCACATAACTGACTTATTGACCAAGCTATCTCCAGTAAATGAAGTGTTACCATGCGACTAAAAAGTAATCCTCATCCACAAAGGAGGATCTAGACACTGCAGTCTAAACTACAGACCTATTAATCTCACCAGCACCTTAATGAAGATAATGGTAAGAATTATCAAGAGAGTTATTATGGCACATCTGGAAAACAACAACTTATGGTCCAGAGTACAGTATAGCTTCTGAGGAAACGCTTTATGCCTAACAAACCGTCTTACAGGAAGACAAAGGCGGGTCAAGTGAGGGGACAACAAGAAACCCAATGACATTTCTACAGACTTCAGCAAAGCTTTCGAAAAAGTGCCTCACACAAGACTGTTTAGGAAATCGCAAAGACATGAAATAAAGGGCTTCTTGTTAAACGGAATTAGGGAATTCCTCACAAGTAGGAGACATAGTCAGCACCAACTCAGAACCCTTTTCCTGGATAACGGTAAGTAGTGGAGCACTACAAGGCACTGGACTCAACACAATCTTATTTATTTTGTATTTGAGTCAATTACCTGAGCTCGCCGAATTTCTAGTTGTTCGTGACGCAGATAACCTTAAAATCTGGAGAGCTTAAGGGTGATAATAGAATGCTCACGTTATAAGGATATCTCAATCAGCTGTTAAATGGGTCCAAAGAATGGATGTTCCCGACCAACGTAGCGAAGTGGGCAACAATGCGCATTAGATACGTAAGCGTCAAGTCATACAATATAGAAGGATTAACACTCCCATCAGTTCTGACTAGTAGTAAGTCATGGCTAGAAAAGCATAGCACACAGTTGAAAGCTTTAGATTACTATAAGCAATACTCAGAGAGTTTACTCCAACCACCTGCTACACGCTCACTTCTTTATATACATCTCTGCTGGTGTTAAAACCTGAGAACTACATCCGTGCAGCCAGCCCTTGTCTTAAGAGGGACTCATACATTCTAGAAAAGGTTCATAGGAAGGCAACACGAATGATTACCGGTGTCAGCATTTTATTGTCAGAAGAAAGATTTACTAATTTGAGTCTCATCTTGTCATACCATAGGCAGACAGGAGATCTCACCAAAAAGTTTAGAGTTCTAAGAAATGACCATGGACTTGACTTATCTTCTCTTTTCTTCCCCACCAGGTCGGGACATTTCAAAGGATATAGCAAGTGGGTTCAGAAACCAAAGAAGAACTAATTCACTTTGCATTAATGATGCATCCACCTTGAAAATGACTCCCAGACAAAGCATACTACTATAGTATAACAGCCGTCAAGTGACTCGTTTAAGAAGGGATTAAACAAGCACAGAAATTTACTGGAAAAGTATCAACACAGGATTCGAACCTCTAACCCTCAATGAGTAAATCTGAGCCTAGTAGTAAAACGAATGACACCATAGCTGTATATAAAATTTAAACTCCCTCACTGACAGAAACAACGGGCGTTCACTCATTATACCCACTTAATTCGCATTTTTACCATTATTTTATTCGTCCTCCTTTACTTGATAAAAACCCTCATTAACTACCTCCGCGTGTCTATTTTCTTTCTCCTCAGTAACCCCTATAGAGGTACACATTGAAATACATTAAGCCATGACACGTTAATTAACGTCTTACCTATAATTAATTATAGGTAACTTCTGCAAGCTGCCACGACCAGGCGTACCAAGTATTACTGCAAAAAAATACCATTTGGTGTGTTACCAAGATAATCATGAATTCCTCTTAACTATATATATATACATATATCATAAATGACATTTATTTTAATAAAGTAACAATAGAAATAAAGACATAGGACTTACAAAAATTTTCACTCATAAAATCACTCTTAGTGGCACAAGAATTCTAGTACATTTGTTATATTATGTTTTTGGATAGCCTAGCAACCTTTGAAATACTACCCAAATTCAATCACTTTTGAATAACCTCTTGCTAATAGTAAATCATAACAATTAGTTAAAACAAACAGTTTGTTGGTGTTTCAGATGGCGAGAAGAATGTTGAACAATGGGTAGGCTTATCACTTTTGGACAATGAAATCGCTTAAATCGGCACTCATGCATTTTAAATATGATCTGTGTTGGTTAAATGATTGGATTATGCGGAAAGCTGTCTTAGCATCATCTATTTTCGACCACCTTCACATCCTCTTAGAACAGTAACACCAACTAGGAAAAATATCCTCACTCTAGTTTCCATCCAATAAAAATTTGGTTGGACGTGTTTGATTTCTAAAAGCTATAATGTTTTATTACCAGTAACCACTTGGATGCTTTTATAAAGATTTGTTTATTTGACCCCACCCCCCGCAACAAATATATTTATCCGGTATAAATGATAAAAGGCTACTTGTGTAAGCTGACTTATCTTCTGTTACAGCATGGTGAAATGTAACATGAATTACCACTCAATGCTCAGATGATAACGTATAAAACTAAGAATATAAATTGATGGAGTCATCCATAGTGCGATTTATGGCTAAGCACCTAATTCAAAGCTATGACTGCAAATGGGCAGGTTTATGGGTATAAAAAGGTAAGCCCTAAGATCAGTACAGGAATTCATCCTCATGTTCTGGGAATAGGCGATCGGGGTCACGGCACTCCCGACGTGGACTGTAAGGTACCACAGATGTTATTGTGATAATGGTGCTAGATGCCTTTGTCGTTGGACGCTTGACAATAAACAACAAGGCGACATATTTGAGTGAAGGTTGTGTCTGAGGTCACTGGTGAACCACTTCCTTCTCGCCTATTCTGTCACAGATCACAGTTCTTAGATATGCTAGCCAAGTGATACCGAGGCAGAAGACAATATAACCCCACCTACAAAGGAGCAGCGTTTGTCACCAACATCCCTACAACTACTCACCACAGAGATCTGAGGCTCCTCGACCTAAACATCAGACTTCACTTCCTCTATGTTTCATCGTGGCTGATATGATCACCACCACCACTGGTGTAGATCTCCTGCAGCACTGAAGCAGTGAAGAGCTACAACTACAGTTTTGCAACAAGTCTTAGAGATTAACTTCACGGAAGGAGAGAGGGTGGCACATGCTTACCAGCAGATAAGTTAGCGATCACAAATATGTATCGTTCTAATCTGTAAGACAGCAATATGCATTTTGACAGCTCGAGATTTAGACACAACTTAAGATCCTTTTCTTAAAGGAGCAATGATGATTGCTTATATCTGTCTTTGACAATTACCATCTAGCCCAGGTTTTTGTCAAGGCCAGATCCCATGGACCCCACAAAGATTCCTTGGACACTGTACAAGTCAGTAATTTCTACTTTTTTGGAATTTTGAGTCCCATCACACCAAATTATATGTTTCGGAATGACCTTTATTCACGCACCAACATATTCTGAGGTATATTATCTGTCCAGGCTCTTTATGAAGTTAACAATTACCCCTATGATTCATATTCCCTGGTCCCTTAAAACTTTGTTGTGCAGAAAAGAATATAACAACACCTTGTTTGAGTAAAACTATATTTTTATCGAAAACATAATAGTTATGATAGTAAGACCATTATAGTTAACATTATATACTGCGAATGCACATCATTCTAGGGACTGCATAACTCCTTCTTGTATGCCATCTGTAAATGCATTTTAAAGGATAAATTGTCCTTACCTGTTTTTATTACACTTTACTGCTTTCAGGAAAGTACTGTCTCCCTGAAATGGCTTCCAATCACGCCTTGATGTGGTACTTACTAGAGTATGTGCTTGTCTATCCATTAATTACGGCTGGACTTATCCGGCATGTTGGTTGAAATTTCGCTCGGTAAATTTTTTTGTCAATAATTTTTAATAAAATTGTGTCATATGTTTTCTAGATTGATAGGAATTCTCATTTCCTGGCTAGTTATGTTGGTGTCCGCGTCACTTAATCTGACTGCGACACACTCTTAGCATATTGGTTGTAGTGATTAGCGTTTCATGCTGAATGAGTCAAAACATCGCTATAATGAAGAAGATGGGGTAGTCGGAGGGTAATGTCATCTACACAAATAGTTTATTTCTTGTAGAAGCTGCAGCTTTCGACATAGTGTCATTCAATGAAGACCACGTCAAAATGTGGCTATTTTCGTGTGAAGAACAGTACTATTTTACAAAATAATGCTATCAGTACATGGGAATCACCTATAAATGTTAACAGAACGTAAAACCAATGTGTAAACGAACGGCTACGGAACTGCAATCCAACATAGCCGACTAACATGGACGAAAATGACCTTTGAGCGTCTCACTTCATCAATGACCTTGAGCATGCGGGATAGTTTCAGCCTTAATTACATTCACTTATAAAGAACTAAATTAGGATTACCCGCTCAGCCTTGACCTTGGTGCCACATTTCAACATTCACGTGTCACTACTCTGTTAGCTCACAAATCAGCAATTTAAACCTCCGAAATAGCCTTGATTTTTGACATTTTGCGATTTGAAACCAAAACAATTTTGATCGTATCTGTAAAAATAGCATGCTTTTCATATAATTTCATTAATTAACATGATCATTTGTTATAACTGACTAAATTTTAGTGTGTGGTGTGAATTCACACTGAGATTAGGCAACTCAGTGAGACAAAACATTATAGATGGAGGGCACTCAATGATGCAGAGTGGCTTTATTGCACCCATATATTTAAGCTTCCTGCTGCACAAACAATACGTCAATGCTAAAGAACAATATCAAACAACAATTTTTATATAAATTCACTTAACAAGTTCCAAATAAGCACCAAAATCACGTCGACTGCATCTGACTGGACGACTAACCCCAACCCAAATCAACTTAACCGCGCATATGCCGTCAAGGTGAAGGAGGTGGCGCCTATTTAAATAGAGGGTATGCTATGTGATAGATCGATGATCCAAGAACTCTTTGTAGACTTCTGCACCTTCTGTGATTCGTTGATTAGGAGCAACATGTACAAACTCAAGGACATGCACAAGATGACTTTGGTTTTACCAGATGGACATACAACATATGAGACAGACTTTGTTTTTAACACTGCCCCTTAAATACGATGTGCTTATCCTCTCCAACCGGAAAATACCTATTTCGCAGACTATCCGCTTGGGAAACCTGATCTTCTTAGTCGGTGAACCAAATTCATCCATTACTTACATATCAAATCTCTGATTAGTAAGTTCGGCTGTCTCGAACTACTGCCAAAGCTTCAGGTGCTACTTCTTTAGCAGCATCTTCCTCACTCGTTCAGATAAACAAGATTTTTTGATCTGCCACGTGATTGCCGTGAAGCCGATTGACCAAAAGGTACTAGGTAAAGTCGAAAACCTCTTCTTTTCCTTATCTTGCACTTTATCAGCCTTATTCTTGTTCTTGTGGGTAGATACTGCTGTCCTCTTATTCTTATACAGCATAAGTTATACTGATTGTTAATATGGCTGTTGAAAGTGGCCTTAGAAAAAGCACTAAAACACCGTGTTCTGTAATCACAAGGGCTTCAGCTAGAGGAGGCAGTAACCCAGGGGCATCAACCCCATCTTGTATACCGGTTCTAAAGACCCGTGTACATCTCGACTGTTTTGATTCTACGCCTACATTGACACAGTTTAGCACTGAAACAGCACGGGCGATACCAGGTGGACATGATACTATACCCGTATCCATTGGAAACCAGTGCGTGACACACGGCAAAACAAAAGAAAGGCGCTCAAGACGTCATAAGATCTCTAAAGCGTCATCTAGAAAAGGAGACGAATGTCAGGCCTGTAGTGTTATCGTTTCTAAAACTGATTCAGAATATTAGTGCAATTTTCGCAAACGATGGGTACACTGTCGTTGTGATAAAGGGGTGCCAAATCCATATTGTGAGTTTCTGCGAAATAACCTGTGCCCATGGTTCTGGTACACCTGCCCACCTTGTCGTCCTCCCAGAGTCCCAAACAGCGCGTCTGTGGATAGCGGAAACAGCAACACTCTTGCGTCTCGACACAGTCTCATACAGATCTCCACCTGATGACATCACGCCACCAAAAGTTGGTAAAAAAAAGTAAGAAGGATATTCCAGCCCAACTGGCTGGAAATACCAATCTTCATAAAGTGAGGACTTCCACTTACATACACTAGCAAGCTTGGCACACAGCGAATGCTAATCAGAACCTGATGAAGTCCGAAGTTACTGACCCTGAAAAGGAGGACAAGCAGCCAAAAGCTAAACCTAAGTCTGAGGTCAGTTGGTCGAATTCCCTTATCCTGTTTAATTTACCCATGTGCAATGGTAACTTGGTAGAACAATGGGCCTTGTTTGATCAGGAACAGTGGTCCAATTCGTGCAATGAATTAGGTCTGAACATCAGTTCAGCGAAATTGTGCAGGCTGCACAGGATTGTCCAGACACCTCAGGGTAAGCCGACTTGATTAAGGGTGACACTGGGCTCTGCAGAAGAGGCTGAAAGGATACTATTACTGGCTCAGGTACCAGCTATCGACAGGAGTTCTAGCATAGGAGTGAGACATGATAGGCCATATGCTAACAGGCGAATGGCGAGGGAGTTACCGGAACTCATGCCTTCTACCTCTATGGTCGTACACGGTGTTCTGGAGCTGGAAAGTGGCACTGCTTGTGAAAAACACATGAAGTACAGCAGTGGAGATGGCTGTCATCTCAGATGGCCCTTGGTGCTTCTGGAGCAATCTACATTTTCCGAATACTACGCTCCGCTCATCTCACACTGATTAATTCCCCAAGTCTGACAAGCGTCAAATTCAACTCCCAGGAACAGTTGTCCCTAGTGCTTCAACGGTGGTACGAGACTGAGGGGAAGATGGCAGGACACATCCGATGCTGCGAAAGCAGACCTCGTACCATACGAAGGCAGCAAACTGAGGCCTTTATACGTCATCAAGCCTCAGTGACACTAGAGCGATGCAGTACTGGGAATAAC